GTATGAAATTGGAGGTAGTTTGAGGATTAAATTTTTTATGCTTTTTAAGCTCAAAAAAGCGGGGGTCGTATAATACATGAATAAATACGGTAACTTTCGTGGAAATTAAATTATCAAATGAAATAGTTTTTCACAAGTTGCACGAGCGCACAAGTGGTCAGCAGCAGACAAATGAGCTTATATTCCAGAATATCGGTGGGGGGGGGTCTTCATCAGAAATTCCCCCTCGCTCTCGTCTCCTGGCCAATTAACGAGGCAATACACAGTTCAACGGCTCACCTTTGTGTCTCACACGAGCCTCAATAAAGAACTGAATCAAATTCAATAACGATAATGGATCTGAATGGAGACGGTTTCCAAAAATGTACTTCAAATGTTGCTCACTAATTGGACCATTAGAAGCCAGAGGCGTTAATTCTCGTCGTTATGAAGACAACATTGAGCTGATGGTATTAATTACCAGCGAGCTCTGGCTGGGGCTTTATAAATGGCAGACAACATGGCTGCTTTCTCCCTCTGATTGTTGGCTTTATTGTTCCCAGCTCTGGTGCAGGTCATGTGGAATCCAAATCACCCCCGTAATTAGCTCYGAGCTTTTGTGAGCCTGGCCGCTGCGTGCAGATATATGATAGAAAATTGATTGCAGCCCACCCGCTCACATGTTGCCTGCTCCTTCCCGTTCCTCTCCTTTTCACTCCTGGTCGTGGGCACGGTGAAGGATTGTGGGATTGATTGTCTTGGTTAGAGCTTGGCACAGAGATAGCTGGTCTGCTCCACCCTCTGACACGGCCTCGACAATGGAGCCTTTGTGTGATCGGCGTGTGCAAAGCCTCATCCCTCCAGCTCTAATGGCTTCTAGAGCGCCACCAGCTCAATACGCCATTACTGTTCCGCATGAGCGAAGCCGGGAAGGCGGAGGAGACAGAGAGTGGAGGTGCCTCCTCAGCCCTGCTCCCACACAGSCCCCGAGGAACCCACAACAACGCTTTCAGCTTCTGAGGAGCTGAAATCAGACGTCAGGGTGTGGAAAGACCTGCGAGCTTCTAACGAGACGCTGAAGGAAGGTCTCATTAGGGCATGCACGGCGAGCGTTAATCAGTAATTAGAAACTGTGATCTCTGAGAGCTGGTAAGTGCGCAGGAAATGAAAACACTCCAGTGAGCTCTGCGAGGAGCCCGTGCTGCGCTGCTTGAGGGCGCCCTCATTTGTGCAACTGGATCCTTCAGCGGTGCTTCTCTTGGTGGATGTAAGGGCTCTCACAGCGCTCCCCAGAGCCATCAGCACCCCCCCCCGTCCCCCGTCCTACTGTCACACTGACTGCTGTGCAGGAACATGCTCGGCGCTGGCCACAGCAGCGTAATTATGGGTTTCTGCAAAGCTTTAAGATATTCAGGCTAATCAAAGGTGGAGGCTCGACGGCCTCAATCATGTTTGTTGCTTCCACACTCACAAGCTTAAGGCCACAGAAATGCGCTCTATCTTAATTTTATTCAGAGAGGGGGGCTTCGAGTCCACATCAGAGGAGGAACATCTCACTTTGTTTACAACTTTTAGCTCCTTCACTGCAAATCTGTTTTTTTATGAATGCTTTTCTGTTTTTTTTTTTTTTTTCTTTCCAGGCATTTGAGTTTGTGCATGAGTTGTCTAATCCTCCTTCTGTTTCTTTGTAATGCATTCAAAGCACAGATTAAAAACTGATTTTTGCTGCACAGTTTCGCCGGAAACATTCAAACGTATCAGCGTTTAAACGCTGGGAGATAAATGGGACGAGACGGGAGAAAGCAGCGGTGTAGTCACTGGACTTAAAGATCCTCTGTAGATGGATGGAGCTGCAGCCTCGTACTGTAGATGACATCAGTCTCTCCCTGTCCTCCCCCCCTCTGGAGACTCCTCCCATCGGAGCTATTGTTTATCGGCGCTGCTGATGCAGCTGTTTCTGCGTGTGTGTGTGTGTGTGGGACGGGGTGGAAGTGCATGAGATCGGTGGTGAGCAGCGAGCAGTCCCCTGCGCCGTGTGGAAATCCACAAAGACGACTTCCTCTGAAACTAATTAATCGACGCCACAAGCCCATTACACTCGGTTAAAACAATTAGCATCTGCACGTTGCGCGGGGGAAGCATTGTCTTCTCAGGCGAGGAAGGGGGCATCACGCTGGGATATAAATGCCTGCGCAAGTGATCGATCCTGCATTCCCTGCTCGAGTCAGTGGAGCTGAGCCCCATACGGGACAGATGTGTGGATAGGATCTATGGAGTCTCTTTCCAAGAGGAACAGACATATGAGACGAGTGTGTGCATGTGTGTGTGTGTGTTTGCAGTTCTTTTTTTCTACTTGGTTGTACTGAAAGAGCTGCATTAGCTTTAAAAGGAGGAAGAAACATCAGTTTTCTGCTAACCCTCAGCTTCTTGAGCCCTCTCCAGCCAGATAATAGCTAACTCCTCCTAACCCCTATTAGAAGCTCAGTCAAACGATCCATCCATTCCCATTGAGCGTCGACCACATGGAAGGCCCATTTCTTCCCTGTTGTGCTGAAATGAAGGCGACGCGGACCGCTTGACAGGGTAATTACTTTTAATGAAATAATACGGCCATCGCAGACAGCAATTAAAAGTCACACTCGCTCCACTCATTAGAGGAACTTACAGTTTACTTTCATTCCTCTGTTTTCTAATGATGCAGAGGCAGGCCTGTTAAATCGAAAGGCTGGAGCATGCGAACCCCCGGGGACCGGCCCTTAGGTCCTGTTTGACCGTGCGAGCGCACAAACAAAGACAGAGCGAGGAGCTAAGAGACTCCTCACGCCTTATCTGCTCGGGAGGGTCCTCCGAACGGTGATGCCATCAAAATACCGTCTGATGTTGCTTCTCTTTTTTTTCCAATCCTTTCAAACGAGTAAACACGGATCAGAAACGCTGTGAAATAATCAGAGATCAAGTATTTTTTACAAACACTGTGATCTGATTTTATTGATCGAACTACAGAAAAGGCATTAAAGCAGCAGAGACGTGTTCTCCTCTCTAACCACGCCAACAACCTTCAAGAACTGTTTGCTGAGCTAACAAATGCAAATTGACCACCGTTTCCTCACAAAAATAACATTTCCATATTGCCTTAATGATTTTTCTTTCTCCAGCCTTCCTTCTCATGAATTCACAGTTAGTGAGGCTTTCTAACTCCATCCCTGCTCTTCTGTCTTTCTTTTCTCTCTGCAGCAATTTGGAAAGATTTTAGATGTGGAGATTATCTTTAATGAGCGAGGATCCAAGGTAAGTGAACTAGAACGCCAGCTGCTTCATTACCATGTACTTCTTCTGTTTCCTAATGATGGCATTAGTGTGGTGTGTACATTGGCAGAGAGCGGTGGTCTCTAAGCCCGGTCTTGGAGATGCACAATCACTGAGCCCCCGGTTCTCCTTCTCCCTACCTCAACATTGTTTTGGTTGTTTTGTTGCAGCTCTCGCCCAAGTTGTGAATCATTAGGCCTGTCAATCAATTTATTATTGAGCTGTTTCACATTTCACTTGATCCAGCAGCAGGCTGCAGGTCCTCTAGCATATGGATCAGAAGCTGCTTGTTTAAAGAGTTGGACGTGCTGAAAACTGAAGCATTGATTAAAATGGTTATTCAGATTAATAATCCTTTGTGATWAGCACATTTTAATCCCATCGCAGTCATTTTTAGGGCTGATATTACTCAACGTTTCAAACAGAACGCCTTATGTGGGCGATATGTTGCATATATAAATTTCAAGGGGCCGGTTGAAGGATGAGGTTGGCCTTATTCTGCATTTCTTGTTATAAAAAAAATCCAATCGGAGGACCAAACCTAACAATGTGCGACTCCCTTCCTCAGCACTTTCTGACTTGCCCACTTATGCGGCGCTCGGCCCCAAGCTCGCCGCTTCCCACTCAGGTTGTTAGTCTTTATAAAAAGGTCACAAATATGCAGATTTATTTAAATAAGAAGAAGCTCAGCATTTTTAGGAACATCGAGCTGCTGAAGTTTTAAATAAACAACGCTTCACCGGAAAGCAATAGTGTCGGGGACTACTTTCTGCGGCGGATTAATGCAGGTTTGGCGACATTATCGGCACTTCCGGATGCTTTTGGAGATCTTCACAAACTTTAGTCTTGGCTTATTTTACTTCTCTTAAAACCAATCTGCACAGAACACCTGAAATATTTCACAGAATTCAATTTCGCTCCTGAATCTTTTATGGAATCGGARTTTACGCGGCATAGATTATTTATATGTGAAGGATAATTCAAACCCCCGCAAACAGCAACCAGCCGTAAGAGAAATGGCCGCGGCGTTGAGGCATCGCGGCAGTATCAGTCTCCTAACCACGTACCAGGACAGGTGAAGCCTGCGGCGATGTGAACAGCCCAGTGCTACTCATCCAGCTGTTCGTTTAATAGAGTGTACTAAGCTCCACAGCTTTCCATTCATAAAGGCGACAGGCTCCCTGGCTGGGTGTTGAGGCATGAATACTATTGATTCCCATTCATACCTGGGAGTGCTTTTGGGCTCGTATACAGGCATGCAGGGCGCCCTGGAACCAGGCYCTGCTGCCGCCGCTGCCGCTGCCGCTGCACTCAGCCCCCTCTGCCAGACAAGATTGAGCACCGGATAAACCTGCCTCCTCCGCCGTAACAAGCATTTATTGTTTGTGCCCCACAAAGCCATTACCCATGATGCCTCTCTCCCCTCGCGCACTCCGTGCTATATAATGAACCTATCAGGCCATTAATAAATAATCTATTTCCTATGAAGCTTTGGCAATTTGCATTCAATATGTTTGTCTCCTTTGAAAAATGGAGGCTCCACTCCCTCCTCTTGTAAGCTAATTATTTGTGCGTGATAAAAAATAAAAATAAAACTAAGATAGAGGGGGTAACCACAACCGGGTGAGTGTCCAAAGGATTAATTTTTCCCTCAATTCCTTTTTTTTAATTAATTTTTTTTACTGCTCTTTCCCCAAGGACAGGTGTTATTTGTGCCAGAAATAGCAGTGCTGGGATCTGTGTGTGTGTGTGCACGTGAGATCACACCGCTCGCCATCTCTCACATGTATTACATCCTGGAGCAATTATCAGGCAGCGCCGGCCATGCTCCCTGCTCCCCGACACATACCTCTATAAGTATATATAGAAACTAAAGGAATGGGACTTGTTTGGCCAGAATATCTTAATGCCTCCACTACAGAGCCCAGGTCCAGCATCCCAGTCCACATAACTCACAGAAGTGACAAAGCCTCCCAGGGGAGCGTGGCTTGGAGAGAGTTTAGCGGGGGATGGGATGAAAATAAGACGGGGTTCCTGCAGATCCTTAAAAAGTCATAAAAGTCATTGAAATCATCAATCCAGAAATAAGGCCTTAATTAGCCTTAAAATGTCTTAAATCGGTCTTTCAGAAGTCTTAAAAATGTTAAAACATTGCAAGTAGGATGACTGTAATTCGTATCAAATATTAAAATAATTGGTAACATTTTTTTAAAATATTCACATGTAGACATTCCTCTTTGACATCATTTCCTGTTATTTCACATGCAAACTGTCCATCCCAATAATAGCGATGCACCGATATGAAAATTTCAGCCGATATTGATATCCGATATGATTACTGGTGTTATGGCCGATAACCGATATTTACCYATATTACACACACAAATTATACTATACATATTCGCACAAACACACTTGTGTCTTTTTTCGATACCGTAAATAAATGACCAGACCTCTGACATGGCTCTACTTCAGTTATTCCTGGCTACGCAGCGTCACTATCACCATCATGATCAAACAGATCAACCAACCATTTTGCCTCCCAAAACAGAAACACAACGCTAAAAAATGGAAAATTAATATCTGACGTTAATATTGGCCCAGTTTTACATATCGGGCCGATACCGATATTCTAAAAAATGTTCCAAAAATGCGTTCACTTTTCTTATAAAAACTTGATGTCACAGGCACTTTAAGGTTTCATCTATAGCAAATGTGGGTTAAGACCCCAGTGTGGGTCCTAAAACTCCAAATTTTGGGTCGTCAGAGGATTTCCAGAAATTAATTTAAGTTTAAAACTGACTGTTAAGAGCGTTTCTGCTATAGTTCGATATGGATAAAAACAATTAGTGTATTAACAATATTAGAATACTTCAACCAAAAATACTTTGATTTATGAGTTTTTGTCGTTTTTATTTTTTTGTCATTTATGTTTATTGTGAAATTGGTCTTAAATTGAATTTCACTTGGCATTAAAAAGTCTTAAAAAGTCTTAAATTCAAKTTTCCTTAAACTGTAGGAACCCTGTAAGGCAATAGGTGTGTTTTAGTCGGGGTCTAAAGTTAATCTGGTCCTTCTCTATCACAGTGGAGTTTGTTCACTTTGTTTCTGTTCAAATGTCCGACCTATTAGTGCAGCGGATTAGAAATAACCAGAGATCGAGCTGTGTGAGGAGAACTCCTCCTCCCTCCTGCTCCCGGTGCCCGTCTCTTCAAAGACCTGTTTGAGCGTCCACGCTGTTCAACGTTTGTAGATAATTACGCCACTATTACAGCAGCCAACAGTGTTTTTGCATCGGCTGCTTCCTGACATTCACCCYTGGCACGGCAGCTGTGCCGTTTAARTGGGTGAAAGCGGGCAGGTTTGTTGGTGTTGCTGTGTGAGGCCGTGTGTCACCYGCATCCTCTCCTCCTTGGATCTCTCTGTTTTGCTGTTTCCTGACACCTCACTAACTGCCTCTAATTAATCCGGCTGCTTACAACTCGACTCTGCCGCCACTGCTGCTCACTTTCTCCTGTCTTCTCACCTCCTTTCTCCTCCCTTCCCTTCCCCCTTTTTTGTGTGTCCATCTTTTATCCTTTTCTCTCTGCCTCTGGCTAACACGGCGCTCTCAGGGCTTTGGGTTTGTAACTTTTGAAACAAGCACAGATGCCGATCGTGCACGGGAGAAACTAAATGGTACAATCGTTGAGGGACGCAAAATAGAGGTGCTTTCATTTTTTCCCCCTTTTCCCACATGTTGTCTTTGTTGCTTGCTGCCTTCTCGACCTGAGCATAAGCATGTGACTGCTGTGTGTGTGGATCTGCATCTCTGAGAGGTCGTGTGTGTGTGTGTGTGTGTGTTTCTCCAGGTTCATGCATGCATACTGGTGCATATAAGTTGTTGGCAGAAAAAGGCAGAATCCATACAGGACAGGCCAGTTGTCCATCATCACCTGACAGAGCAGAATAAATGCATGCCCTCWTCCTTTGGGTTCTTATCAAACCTYAAAAGACCCGCACCKTCCTTCCACCTCCGTTTCATGTTGCCTGCAATGATTCTGTTTTTGTTTACAATAAGCCAACCTCCCACTCAGCAACAGTCATCGGGTCAACAGAAAAAAAAAACTCAAAGTACTCTGTTTTTCTTTGGGAATACATTTATCTATTCAACCAATTACTGAAATTGTACGATGTTCTTTTCATTTTGTGCTTGTAAGTAATTGCATGCTCTCAGTTCAGGATGGAATAAAGCAAACTTTTGGAAACATTTTGTTTTTTTATGAATTATTTTACTTTCTTCCTGGTTTGCTGCTTGCTCGTGGCCCACAGTAGATGTCTGGATGGAGTTGTAAAGCTCTGTAGTCACAGGGTGTGTGTTTGTGCTGCAGGTGAACAATGCAACCGCGCGGGTGATGACAAACAAAAAAGTGGCCAATCCCTACACAAACGGTAAGAGCCGAACTGTTTGATAAAGTCTGGATAAAAGCGAGCTCCCGTGAAGTTGAGTTCTTCCTCTGGTCACAGGCTGGAAGCTGAACCCAGTAGTAGGAGCTGTCTATGGTCCTGAACTGTATGCAGGTAAGACTCCTTTCTTTTCTCTCTCACCACACACTACACATGCACTGCGCCACACCTGAGCCGCAGCCAATCCCCCCAACCCCAAACCCCGAATTTCTACAATCGGGTTCATCCTGAACCTCCTGAACATGAAATTCCCCCGTAAATCAAAGTGAATCTTGGAGCGGCTCAGATAAGCAGTGGATGATCCAAGCAGCTCTGAGTGGCTGAGGGAGCCTGAGCCATTGTTTGCGCAGTGTGCAACTGTAAAGCTGGGGAGGGAGAGAAAAAAATGATTTCAAGAGCAAGCGCCCCTGCAACTGTTATCAGATTGTGGAGGCTGCTGCTGTGGATGGATTTGCCAAGTGCGCCAGATTGACTTTTACAGAGCTAACCGAATAAGGGAGATTGAGTGAGCGATATTGTTGGCACCCACCCTGTCGAAGGCCACTATTCCTTCTGGTCTCAGTAATGGAGGAATGAGATGAGCTCAGTGGGGTTTTCCCTATCTCTCCCTACCTCAACATGCCAGCTTTATTGCTGTATGTTATATGAACCCTTTGCATTTTAATGAGGGGGAAATGGTACTATTTCATTTGGAAGAAGTGCTGAGCACATCGCGCCACTTTAACGGCTTTCCTTTCTGCTCATTAGACTAAAATCTGTTCATTCCCCGGACAGCTTTACGGCGAACCTCTAAATAACTGTCCATGACAGAAAGCAGTCATCTATCATTTTTATTTCATCCCCAACCCCTCACCCTCTCCAAGCCTCCTCCCCCTGCCTCCCACTCACCTCGTCCTCCTCCCCCCTCAACACTACTTTCGACATCTTCCTCGGATGATTATTTATGCACACAAACATGCACACCTCCCAGAGTGTTGCACTTAGAGCCTCAAACAAATGCGTTTTGACACGATTGGGGTGGGTGTCCAAAGCAAAGATCWGAGCGTTATGTAACTCGCATAAACCTTTATTTTCCTGCCCTACATGTGCGCACACACCACCAGCACCTGCCCTGCTTTCCTAAGCTCAGACCAAAGCATGCCAGCACACACAGAAACCTAACCTATGTAGAACACAGACACTAATACATGTCTCCTCTTTCATGCGTGCTTTTTTCCATTTCACACTCACACACTCTCACACACACACACTCCCCAAATCATCTCATAAATCAGAGGGAGTGTGGTCCACCACTCCAGGCAGGGGAAGCAGGAGGGGTTGGGTGATTTATTGGCTGCTAATTTTTCAAGTCGTCTTGACATGGCGCTGGAGTTTGCCAAGCCTAAACGACAACATATGCTTGCCAGCTGGGAAGATGGGAAACATAAATAAGAGATACATTTTTTGAAATAAAACCTTCTTAATTTGCAGAAACAGACTGTTTTATCTTTAAAAAAAAGCACCACTCTGATCCAGACTTTGAATCTGACGAGTTTTTTTTTCCTGTTTTAGAAAAAAAAAAACATGTTGCAGAATCCAAGACGTACTCCAGAATCATCGTAGTTATAGTTAATATACTTTTGGTGGGAGTAAAATGGGATATAAAGGCGATTAATCACTGTTTATCAGTCCTCATTTCTGTGCAGGAGATCAGTAAAATTGGGAGCCATAAATCCTGGCTCGGTGACAGCACACTTCGTCTCCATTCGTCCTGGCGCTACAGGTTTATTGTCCTCAAAACCCATTCAGGAGAATGACGGATGAGAGCCTCACGCTGGCTCCCCACTCTTAACCTCTTCCAGGGTAGACTGGCTCCTCCTCCCGATGGAGGAGGGGGAACAGGGAGTACCTGCTCAGGCTTGTGGCACTAGCCCCTGGCTCCACCCCCCCCCCCCCCAGTAGGTTCCCAATTAAATGAAAGAACTGACAACGAGAGTGAGATCTGGCACAAACCGTGGTGTGCAGTGGCTGATAGGCAAACAATATCTGTCTTTACCTTCCTTCTGTTTTAATGTGCACTAATGTGATTTTAAACTCCGTAATTCATGTAGATTGAAGCAGTATAGGTATACATTACTGCACGTACGGATGACATGATTCATGAGCTGTACGTACAGATAGGATTAATTATCTGAAATTAAAACAAAGCAGATGCAGGTGATAATTTTACAGGAAGACATGAGGGGGAAACGATTTAAATAAGTAAAAAAAAGGAAAAGAAAAAGTCGCCTGTGAGGCAGATCTGCATGCAGTGCATATTACACTGTTTAGCTCATCTTAATATAATTGGAAAACTTTTTCTTCATTACTCTTGTTGGAGGTTTCAGCGCGGCAGACAGCTGTCACTTAGAAATGCCGTTCTATGGCCACCCCCTCAGGCTACCACTCACAGACTCTTCTCTGCAGCTAATTCTAATGGAGACAGGAGATGAGTAGCTTTTCACTTACCATTTCATATTTTCTGTTACTACGGTGGAGTTTTCTTGAGGACTTGTGAAAAGCTACCAGCTGTGTAAATGACAGAAAAGAAAGGCTAATTGCCATCTTAATATATGTAGACAGATCCTCTCATTGTTGGAGTGTACTTTAGGGGGATAATTAAGCCCCAGACTCTTGATTAGATTAAGCTGTTTTTGGTCCRCAGTGCGTGGATTAAATGCTCATGTATTTGAGCAGGAAGTATTAGAAAGATCAACCTTGTGGAAAATCAGATCTTTCTTTATGGGAGCTGGTTATGACCCCATCAGTGGCACAGAGCTGGATTACCTTAGGTCCAACTGGCTCTGCAGGTATTGAGCTTCTTTCAAGTTGACACATATGACATATGAGGTGCCGCGTGACCCCGCCGCCCTCCAGCACATAACTCATATTTTCTCCAGCACCCCTCCCGGAAAAGGTGTTTGACTTTGGTGGCTGGACCAGGTTTGTGCTCCTGTACGCCGCGCCTGTTGTTGCTTCTCACGCGCTTACCAAGGTGTGACAGTGCCTTTGATTTATGGGTTATTATTGAAGCAGTGTAGCCTATCGCCAACTCATTATGAGTTTACATTCACATACATCACTGCATGCAGATTGCATACAAATTTTCAAAAAAGAAAGGAAGAAGCATATTTTATTTATTTGTTTATTTATTTTGGATAAGGGAACAACAAACACCTTAGAAAGAGGTCTGTGTTTGCCCTTTAGCTACTGCACTCTCAGGTTCTCAGGCTACGACTGTACCCCGCCAAAAAAGACTAATTTAAATGTCAAGGTCAGCATTATAAATCACCCGAGCAGGGAAAAGGGGGCACCCTGTAAGTCCAGACAGTGTGCCGGGACAATGGCAGTAAACAAAGTGCCCTGCCGRGTTAGAAGGTGGGTGCAGTGGGGGAATGTGGGCGTCACCTGGCCAAATGAGATGCAAAGTTTGAATATGTGTCTGGACTCACTAATGGAGCGTGATGTTAATGACAGAAGACATTAAACCTGGCTCTGTGTTTTTAAAAGCGCCACTAATCTGTTTCTCTGTCAGCTTTATTGAAGCAGCGGGGCTGMGGTGTGCATTGTCCGTGATGGTGCTCGCTGGTTGCAACCAGCTGTGGGGTTGACGCCACACAAACACCAAACGGAAGCCTATGGAAGGCTGCTACACTGGATTTTTATCACCGTCTAGTAACGTTCCATTGGTCTCAGTGTCATCCATCCTGGACAAATGCCTTTATAGCAGCCACAATCTCACTTTTATTTTTAAAATCATGGAAAAACACGTCTGCAGCCTCAAACGCTTCTTTCATAACTTTGTCATCGCTGAAAGARCTTTTTTGTGTTGAGCCAGCATGCAGCTKACCTGGTATGAGGCTATCGTAGCAGCCTTACCTGTTGGACCGAGTGAAAACTGAGCTGCAAGCTTCAGCTCCGGAACATTCTGAGCTTGGTTTAGGAGGGAATTCGCCTCGTAGCGCATGCATTGTTTTGAAAGAAATGCTGTTCCATTATCCTTTTTGGACAAGGCAGCGCTCGAATTACAAATGTCCTCTTCCCACTCCTGGTGAAAATAATACGTTTTTGTTTGCTTGCTAGCTCATTTGTCGTTCATTTTTTTCCGCCTCTCTGCCATGTTTTGAACATGTGACCCTAAAGTCTTGCGAGATCATGTTCAGAGTGCGGTTTCACGGCACCCAAAACTCGCGAGACTACGTCTGTGAGAATTTACAAAATGGGAAGCGGCGGGAGCTGGAATGTGTTTAAACTCCTCCCGCCTCCCACCGCTTCTGCCGGAGTTAGAATGAAGCTCACCGAGCTTGCGGACATGTCCCGGGCCGGCTGATCAGCCGTTAAACTCTAACAGCTGATGAGCCGGCTCCGTGTTCGACCTGGAACCGGCCGAGGGTCTACCGGTCGATTGCGATAGACTCGGGCACCCCTGGTCTAGTTTCTGTGGGACCATCTCAGCCACAGCAGCAGGTTCAAATTGGATCCATGCTATTAACCTGTGCTGTTCACCCAAACTGAGGCGCAAACCACCCAACGATAGACAGCTCACTGCTACAGAGCCGTCTCTGATTGGACTGTCCCTGTGATGGATTCACTGAAAACATGTCATGGAAATGAGTGAGGAAGTGGGGGCAGTGAAGGGGTCTTTGCTGGAGATGACGAATAATGATGCTGACTGCTTTTTGATGGACTTGATGTTGGGGGATGGAGGAAAAGGGGAAGGAACAGAGAAAATTACAATTGAAGGAAAAGTGGAGACCAACTTAATCATGCCTAGAGATAAGTGTGTTCGTATGCACCTCTGCAGGCTGTAATCAGACAGACACAGGGCTGATTGAAGGTTAAACAGAGACGCAGCGCTCACATCTCTGCCATCGTTCTGTTGAAGCAACACATCTCAACCTAATCTCATTCTGGAGCCTTCTGGTCACACTTGGCTTTAGARTTGGGCTTCGGGAATTTCTCGTCACGTTTTCTTCTTCTACGACGCCCAGGACCACGTTCTTCTGTGCTAACCCACTGGGTGTAAACTATGCGAAAGCCACAGTGCGAAACTAGTGGCATTGCATCCATTACCTGCCTGGACTTCAAGGCCGCACCCCCTGCTAGGCATCAGGGAAGGATGCGTACAGCAAATGTGGATCCTTGCTGAGTATGGCACAAAGCAGCGAGCTGGGAAAGGGGAGAGTGCTCGATGAGGCGCACCTAGAAAAGATTAAATCTATTGTTTCCTTGTCTTCCACATAATGCATTCTGTCATAGGGAAAGCAGTGCCACACATCTCTCTCTAATGTATTCTGTCATAAGGTAAGCAATGCCAAGTCGAGGATGTTCACTGAAAGTCATTTTCTCTTCTCGTGTCTGTTTTTGTTTTTGTTTTTCTCCTCCACAGTAACAGGGTTTCCCTACCCTGCCACAGGCGCTACGGTGGCCTACAGGGGTGCCCACTTGCGGGGACGAGGACGGGCTGTGTACAACACGTTCCGTACGGCTCCACCACCTCCACCAATCCCTGCTTACGGAGCGTGAGTACTGCATTGTGTGTTACTGTAACCACAAAACAGAAATACAGGGTTTGTATTAAAGCTATTTGCTTAATTTGTAATGTAACGGTCTAAATTAATTAGCAAAACTAAGTTTTGAATGTTGTGTTTATCCTAGATTGTTGTTTTTTTCCCTGTTTACACGGAGCTGGTTATCAGTGAAACCGCAACATTTTTGTTGTGATCTAGCAGCTCGTTTACACGTCACTGGTGATCAGAGTCACTGACACTGGCACTTTTTGAACCAGGTCTCAGAGTGGAACTTTTATGTAACGCCCCCCCGCGGAGGTGAGAAGCCCCCCGRAGCTGTGAAAGCACACATGCTCAAACAGCCAGTGCACAGCAAAGGTTTATTCTAAGCTAACAACAATTACAATAAATTACAGACAGCAGAAGGTTTTTTCTGTTACGCACTCTTTGTAGCTTTTAGGAAAAACACAAAAATAATCCTAGGRCCCAACGAACTTTGATTTATTATCCAGGTTCGATCATAACTGTGATCATGAAGCCGCTGCATGATCAGAGCATGAGCGAGCCCGTCTCAGGGTTGCCAGATAAAAAAAAATAAAATAAAATAAAAATTTTGTCTGCCTTTTTCCGTGCATYTTTCCACCAAACACAACACACACCTTATCTTACAACACTCACTCATTTGACTGAATGAGTCAAATATGTGACCCGTCACATCAAAACGAGGATTAAGTCGAAATGTGGAGAAAAAGGCAGATATAGGGTTCGATTTAAACGTGCGCAAAAATTGCATTTTGTCCAAATATAATCAATGTATCATTTGAATGAACTGTCTAAAATATAATCTTAAATTTTTTTTTGAAGCATTTTTTGAGCAGTAGCAAAA